ATGTGATTTCAGTGACAGGGCACCTTTTAAACTATATATACAACACTGCTTAGTTCAACAGGTACAGAGGATACAAGTCTTTGCTATGGGACTCTGGCTACTCTCTAATGTTTAGAAAGAATTCAGTGTGGGGAGGAAAGGCATTTAAGGAGTTCACCAAGTCAGGGATAGGGAGTAGCCTTAAAATACAGAAAAACAAACATAATTTTGATGCTCTTCCCCATCCCATGCGTCTGCAAACACTGTCCTACACTCCTGCCACTGCCTCAAGGCCTCCCATCTCCACTCCTTACCACTGTGATGGAGCAAAGCTCTCAGCCTGAGACTTTCTCTCAGTTATGTACCACACATCTGGCACTGGCATGCCTTAGCAGATGGGAACCAGCACTCTGCCCACCTAAAGCAAATGAACATCTAACAGCGAGTCTGAAGGGCTCCAAGGAGTCAATACCTAAGCCACTGATCTGCATGCGCTTCCTCTTAAAAAGCAGTTTTAAGTCACCAAGGACACTGTCATTCTGAAAGGGAACACTGACATTAGTAATCGTAAGGCATTACACAGGCATTATGATGCACCACTTGTTAAAAACACTCATCTGAAAGGATGAAATGCAAAACAGCATCTTGTTAAAGCTCACTTGAATGAAATCTTGCCAATACACTCACCCCCACTAAGTAGACTTGCTGGTTTCTTCACTCAGTGAGCTAACCACACGTCTTATCCTAAAGCAAACACACTTACCTACAGCGATGCCAGGTGGACCTCCAACCAAACCCCCAACAAATGCAGTTGCACCTGCCAGGAGTGCTCCTCTACCAGAGTGCTTGACAGCCGCTGTCATTCCCTTCTCCTGAGCAACACGGCAAAGCAGTTGCATCATTTGATCCACACGGATGGGCATCTTAGGTGGTTAAGGTCCTGAAAAAGATGTTTAAGTTGACCACTGCAACAGCAATAAAACCCTGCTGTTTAGAGCTCTGGAGTCAGTGAGACTAAAATACACTGCCACAGTCCCTGTGGATAAACAAAAAATTACTTTCTCTTTCATTTCTGGGAAATCACGAGCTAACAGTTTCCCAGATTTTTTTTTGCTGGCAAAAGATGATGTTTATGGCAATTGTAAGTGAAGCCACAGAATAGAGCAGAGGACTCTGCAGTTTGGATGAACTCAGGAAAATGCACAAGGGTAAACCACAGCAATGAAAACTGTAAGAAAGTCTCCATCCAGTTCTGCAGTATATCCCCTTTGACTTAAGAAATTGCTGGCCTTATTCAGCCTTGGGTATGGCTGCAGGACAGAGATCACACAGAACCTAATTCAGACATATCCATTGGGTTGTAGTTTACATACCTGCTATATATCTTCTCTATGTCCTACCTTCTGCCATAAACTAGGTACTTCTCACAACTTGTTTCTTTTCCACATCTTCTTCCATGCTTAAAACAGTTCATGCACTCTAAAGCCAAACACAGACCATTGTGATGCTTCTTAGGAATATTTTAATGAAAACAGAGGACCAGATGTTCAGAATTAGTTGAGAAACGAATGCTAAAATGATTATCCTAAACATATAAAAATGTCAGACTTGCCATTCTTCCTCACTCCCCTTTTTTAACCAGTCTCCTTGCCACACATTCCAGTTCTAGGATATCAGGAACTGCTAATTCCTTAGACTCTATTTTACCTGCTCTTCTAAGTTCCTCCAAACAGGTATTGGCTTCTCTTCTTACAGAAATGAATTCCCAAGAATTACAATAAAAATGTGACAAAAAATCAAGCAAGGCTTGAGGTTTGTGAGTTCACAGTAGAAATAATTTCTTGCAACTATCCCTTGTAATACTCAGATGCCAGGTAAAATTCTTCAAAGTGCCCTTGACACCTCAGCATTCATGCCATACACAGAAGAAGTTTAAAGCACTTCAACAAACAGGATTACATCTCCTAAATAAAATACAAGGACTTTGAAAATTTTACCCAGTGCTACATTATATGGCAAGAGAACCAGAATTCCCTTCAGTGATCTTGAATTCAATCCCACCACACAGTACTTCAAATAACACAGCAAGGCAGTGACAGGATAATACAATAAACCAGTAATAACTTCTGTTAAAAAAAAAAAAAGAAAAAGAAAAGCAAGGTAATACTTAGATCTGCCTACATTTATAACTAGTAAAGCTAACTAACAATTGATACATTGAAGAATCACAACTGTCAGAGTAAAATTCACTACAATCTAAAAACACACTCTGGGAAGATTTATTCCCCATACTTTATCTCTGCACTTAGCTCTTTGGTGAGGTAATTTATCACCACTCCTGCCAACTGCTGCTGGAGATGGCCACTTCCCATGACAAGTGCAGTCAGCTGAGCGATATCAGTCCAGTCTAGGTTCCTGACTATTGCGATGGCTTCATCAAAGAGTTTCTGCTGCTCCGCAGGAGGCAACTCCATTAAAATCTGAGGGACTGGCTTGAAGTGTCCACTGGTCATCCAGGCACCAAGCAGTCCACCAAGAGCTCCTCCTAGAGAATGAGGAGAGATGTTACTCCCTATTGTTAGACCCAAAATTCTAGAGAGATGTTCATCAGTAGTGCCAACCTCCTCATTAGAAATCAGCACAGAGTTGAATGAACAAGGCAAATCCTCTTTCACTTGGGTGAATGACAATCAAGTACCAAGAAGAGTTTTTGCAGCTTTTTACATCAACAAAGGAACTCAACACAATGAAAGCTAACAGTTTCAAACTCGAAATCAGAAATCAAACAAGATTCCTTATGGCACTGGTCTCTTTAGGACAAGCTCTGCAGTTAATGAATTTTACCCTATGGAAAACACACTGTTAACTGCCTTGCCAGCGACCATTAACATAGAGTCTTTTACTCCAGATCCCCAGTATGACTCCAGCATACAGCTGCTGTAGAGATGCACGTTGCAGCTTCCTACACCTGTGAAGACCAAACTTCAGAAGGTATTCACAGAGACTAAGTTCATCAACTAGTTCAAGCTAGTTCAAAAGGCTCCGAAGAGTATATACCTAAGCCTCTAATTTGTGCATGGTTTTCTGTTCACAGAAAAAGGAGTTTTAAGTCACCGAGGTCACCATCATCCTAAAAGGGAACACCAACACAATAATTATCACAGAATCACAGAATTCTAGGGGCTCAAAGGGACCTCTAGAGATCATCAAGTCCAACCCCCCTGCCAAAGCAGGCTCCCTACAGCAGGTTGCACAGGCAGGTGTCCAGGCAGGTCTTGAATATCTCCAGAGAAGGTGACTTTACAGCCTCTCTGTGCAGCCTGTTCCCGTGCTCCGTCACCCTCATTGTAAAGAAGTTCTTACACATATTGGCATGCAACTTCCCATGCTCCAGTTTATAGGCATTTCCCCTTGTCTTGTCCCCACAGACTGCTGAAAAGAGGGTGGCCGTGTCTCTTTGACTCCCACACTTAAGATATTTATAAACATTAATCAGATCCCCCTCAGTCTTCTTAGAGCTGAACAGACCCAGGTTGCTCAGCCTTCAGTACTTGCTGAGGGTGGACACTATCCCCTCATCAAGGTCGTCGGTGAAGATATGAAACAAGAATGGACACACCACCAACTCCTGGAGAGCACCACTAGTCACAGGTCTCCAACTGGACTCTGAGCTGCTGATCATCACTCTCTGAACTCAGAGGGGTGAGAACATTACAATGCACCATTTCTTAAAAACACTCTTCTGAAAGAATGTAATGCAAAATGGCATGTTATTAAAGCTCACTTGAATGAAATCTTGCCAATACACTCACCCCCACTAAGCAGACCTCCTGCTTTCTTCACTCAGTGAGCTAACCACACGTCTTATCCTAAAGCAAACACGCTTACCTACAGCGATGCCAGGTGGACCTCCAACCAAACCCCCAACAAATGCAGTTGCACCTGCCAGGAGTGCTCCTCTACCAGAGTGCTTGACAGCTGCTGTCATTCCCTTCTCCTGAGAAACATGGCAAAGCAGTTGCATCATTTGATCCACACGGATGGGCATCTTGGCTGCTTAAGGACCTGAAAAAGATGTTTAAGTTGGGTTCTGCCACGGGGACAAAATCTTGTTGCTTATAGCTCTGGAGCTGGTTAGACAAACAAGACACAGGCACAGTAATAATGGAAAAACAAAAAATTAACTTCTAGTTTTTCTCTAGAAAACCAAAAAGTTTATGGTCAACAAATCTAAATGAAACCATAGAATAGAGCAGAGGACTCTGTTGTTTGGATGAACTCAGAAGAATGAGCAAGGGCAAATTACAGCAATGAAAAATGTAAGAAAGTTTCCATCCAGTTCTGGAGTACATTCCCTTTGCCTCAAGCAATTACTGGCCTTATCCTGCCTTGGTTGTGGCTCCAGGACAAAGATCAAGCAGAACTTCATCCAAACATAACCTGTAGAGTGTAGTTTGCATATCTGCTATATATCTTCTCTTTGTCCTAGTTTTTGCAGTAAATTAGTTACTTCTTGTTACATTCACTTCTTTTCCTAATTTTCTTCCATGTTAAAAAACTTTGACGCCAACTGCAGATGGTGAAGACTGGGGTGCTTAAAGCAAAGGTTGTCCACAGTGAGCAGTGAGAGCCAGTGAGCAGGAAGAGCCAGGAGGAAGGAAACAGACTTCAAAAAAGCTTGGAGGTGGCAGCTGAGATTGGGAACCTATGGGAGGCTCTAGAGATATGGAATCAGAAACACAGGGCTCCTGTGAATGGCAGGACGGGACTTCAACCAGACAAGAAACACAACTCTCATTTGTAGAAGGAGGCAGAGGTGGGAAAGGAACAGTAGGAAAGAACAGACAGGGCAGGAGGATTGCTTCCTTGGAAAATCTCATCCAGCAGGGCATGAGCTGACAACTTTACAGGGCATTTTCTTTTCCCAGCTGAAATAACTGCACACTAAATATTAAAGAATATACTTGTCTCTGTACAGTTGGTGACAGCAAGTGCAGCGAGCGAGGCAAGAGGCTACAGGAAATGGCAGAATAGCTTTGAGTATCAAAAAAATCCCCAAAAAACAAAAGCGAATTACTGAAGGCTGCCCTGAAAAAGATCGTATCCCTATTTTTGCACCCAATGGATGCATACTATTGAGCCAGGAACAAAAAGCACACCTTTTGGTAACTACTTCAACTTTTTCAGACAACCATATATTGCCATCTAGGAGAGGTTATTTGTTGACAATAATGACTAAATTCAAATGCAGCTCTGATTAAACACAGCGTTTCACATTACCAGGCAATGAAAAATGCAGCTTTGGCTTTGAGTGCACAACAGCCAAAGGATACTTTGCACTTTAGCAACTATTCTAAATGGCAGGAACACAGAGATTACAAAAATAATACCCTCCCCTCACATTGCAAAAGTCATCCCAATACCAACGAAACACTGATTTGGAGCACTGAGATCAGAGCAACTGCCATGAACAGAAATTAAGACTTTCAGCCCAAACAGCAGAGCTCATGAAGCGTTCAGTGTGAGAGGTGAAAGGACTCAGCGCAGAACAAGAGCACGCTTGTTTGTGACACAAATACCTTCAATGCCTTTCATTCTGCACAACAAACAAGGAAAGGTGTTGCTGGAAAAAATAAAACAATGCACACAACATGACTAAAAATATACTCACAAATACACAGGAGGCACAGAGTTATCGTTGTACTTGTTAACTTTGATACTATCCAGTAGCTGAGTGTCTGATTTTTCAGTCTCAGAACAGCACAGCACATGTCATACCTTCACAGCTCAAACCAAGGCATTTTCAAGCCTTCCTACAATGCATCTCCTCTCTGCAAAGTTAAAATGAAGAAACAGCAAAACAACTTTCAAGTTAAAAATATCTACTGTGAAAATGGAAGGTTACTTCTGCACTAAAGAAGTGCCAGCCCAAAGCAAACACTGCAGTTCTTCACTGTACCACAGGTGCTTGGGTTGCTGTCAGGCTTTGGACACAGCAGTGCATGATAGTAACAGTGCATGCTGGTTGGTGACACATTGCATCCGTTGCCTCATTCAGTGAAGTTCAAGCTCAAAGCACTAAAAAACAGCTGCTCTGTTCTTCCTTGAGCACTAAGAAAATAAATAGTAGGAGTCAAAAACTGTTATCACCTTGACATTGTAGCACAGGACTGTAGTCAGAGGCAAAAGACAATGACCATTTTTTTGCAGCATTCCACAGAATGAGCTGCCATATATCATTAACATACAGACAGCCAATACCATGGCGTCCCATGCTAATTCCCCTACAGTAGACAGCTACCAGAGCCTTCTTAATGTCAAGTGGTTGCTTCCTCCCTCTTGTATGCCCAAACTCACTTGAAATTAATAGCCAACTTAGTTTCTGTTCTTCTGTCACTGGCAGTGATAGATTGTGTTTTAGACCAAACTGCAAACCTTGCAGCAAACTTATTGCTACTACTCTGAAGATAGGCACTTCTTACCATTTGAGAAGTTCCACATATGTCATACTTTACAAACAGTGGTACAAACAACCCATTTCTTTCTGGTTCTACACCAGCTATCTGAAAACGTGGGTACATTAAATTATATTGGCTAATTGCATGCTACTGTGCAACACAGAGTATAAAGCTTCTCATGAGCTCAGTGGCAGTGTTTAACATAAGCTAGATGGGCCCACACAGCCCTCTGAACCACTCTGACCAGTCTCCCCCTGGCACACATGTATCTCCTACTCCTATATACTGCAGCAAATGCCAAAAGGTTGCCATTAAAAGTAGTTTCTCTTTTCCAAGTACATAATGAAAAGTATTTGAAAGAATAAGAAACAGTAACATACGACAGCACAGGACTGACACTGTCATTAATTAAGCTCAATTGATGGCTGTGACACTGGCATAAGCACCATAAATTAATTCAGTATCTACCTTTGGTCCTCAATTTGTGAATGTGTAACACGGGAGTCACAATCCTGATACCTGCAACTACCCTAAAATCTGCTAGCAATCAGTTTAAATAACGACTGCTATTATAAGTTAACTGACACCAGAACCTTTCCTGTGACCTACTTCACAACCACATGCTAAGTTTTTTCAAGTCCATCTTTGAATGGCTGATTCCAAGGGGGACAGTCTCTCTCCTCCTGTTTCACTCAAATATCTGCTCCTAGTAGCAGCATCCTCTTCCAGAAGAGTCCATTTGGTTTGTGAAATAATCATAAAATGAGTATGAGTTAAAAAAAATTAATACTTTAAAACACCTATAGAGTATATATGGACTTAAAAGAGAATTGTACTGTGTGTAATCTGTCAAACTGAAAAAAACACTGATTTCAGGTATGTAATATGAAACTACAGAAAAATCAGAAGTGCGCACTGCCATTTGCTGCTGGCTTTCATTTCACTGAAAAAAACTAACTTTCAAACAACAGTCATTGCCCTGCACTCCAGGAAGAAAAGTAAACTATGTATTAACAACAAAGTATTCCTGCAGAACTGAATTAGTCAAATCTAAACAACAGCAAATCTTGAGTTGAAACTTCCGCATTCAAAACTCAACTATGAGAAATGTCACCGCCCAAACATGGAGAGATCTTTATTACACGACTAAAATTACAGAGATACAGAGCAGTATCACTTGTTCCTAAATATTAAAAAAAAAACAAAAAAACACATCTACTCATTCTTCCATTTTTAACCTTGTTTCCTGTGTGCACTGCAATAAATGCTGAACAACTGGTTGGAAAATTAAGTGCCCAGTTCTTAAAGCAGCTCATCTACTGTAAAACAAAACAGAGACCACTGTGATGCTTCTAAGGAATATTTTAATGAAGACAGAGGATATTCAGAATCAGTTGAGAAACAAAAGCTACAATGACAATACTAATGCTAATAATTAACACACTGAAGAATCACAATTGCCAGAATAAAATTCATTGCAACCTATAAATCTGCACTGAAAAGCTTTATGCTCCACACTTTATCACTGCACTTAGCTCTCTGGTGAAGTAATTTTCCAGTAGTTTAGCCAACTGCAGCTGCAGAAGATGACTATTCATTACAACAGCAGTTAGTCGAGCAAAATCAGACCAGTCTAAGCTCTTGAGTACCACAATGGCTTCAATGTAGAGTTTCTGCTGCTCGGCAGGAGGCAATTGCATTAAAATCTGAGGGACTGGCTTGAATTTTGCTCTGTTCATCCAGGCACCAAGCAGTCCACCAAGCGCTCCTCCTAGAAAATGAAAAGAGATGTTATTCCCCATTGTAAGACCTGAAATTCCAAAGAGATGCTTCTTCAATGCTGTTCACCTCCTCAAATGATGATCAGAGAACCAAGGACTGTTACAGCTTTCTACATCAACAGAGGAACTCCACACAATCAAAGATAACAGTTTCAAACTCAGAATCAGAAATCAAACAGCATTCCTTATGGTATTGGTCTCTGTAAGGCAAGCTCTGCTATTACATGAATCCCATCCCATGGAAAACATAGTTAACAACTGCCTTACCATTAATACAGAATCTTTTATTTCAGATCCCTGGTATGATCCAAGCTTCCTGCTTCAGCAAAGATGCAGGATGCACCTGCCTACACCCATGATGTCCACACTTCAGAAGATGCTCATAGAGGCCAAGATCATCAACTGTCTTGGATTAGTCAGCCACATTCAACCTTTCTCCTATGAAATTAATACCCCACCAGACTTGGAGAAGAATCTCTCTGCCAGGCAGTATGGTTCCAGGCCATCAAGTGCAGAGCAGAGGGATCACATATAGATTATGTGGGTAGGACTGCTACAGCCAAGAAATTAGGATCACGGCCCTACACTGATGTGTGATATCTAATGGCTACCAGCCATACAGAACAGTGCTTTTCAGTGATTTACAATGCTGCAAAGAAATTGCAATTTACTCCAGTACCAGTAAGCCCTTCAGATTTATGGAACTGCTCCTAAGAGTAATGTGCACTCAAGGACTGATGCTACATGTGATTTCAGTGACAGGGCACCTTTTAAACTATATATACAACACT